TTCCACTTATATAAAATACAAAACAGGCTAAATAAATCTGCACCATCGAGTTAGTGGCTACCACTGGGAAAAGGAATAACTGGAATGAGCCTAAGACAGGTGTTTCTAAGATGTTGGATTTGTCCTGATCCTCTAAGAAGTGGATGCCAAGATGCTAAGTAAGACTTTTATTTATTTTAACTTTTTAAATGTTTGTTTATTTTTGAAACAGAGAAAGACAGAATACAAGCAGGGGAGGGGCAGAGAGAGATATACACAGACTCTGAAACAGACTCCAAGCTCTGAGATGTCAGCACAGAGGCCTATGCTGGGCTGGAACTCACGAACTACGAGATCATGACCCGAGCTGAAGTCAAACGCTTAACCAACTGAGCCACCCAGGCTCCCCTAAGCAAGAATTTTAAAGAACAAATCTTTTATTAGGGGGAAACATCTGTGAGAGGAAATGGCTGGGAGCTTGGGGAGAGGATCATCAGAACCATCAGATGATGGTACAAATGTGACCCTGAGTGAAGGAGTTTTGGAAGAAAGATTTGGTATCATCCTAGAATGCCTTGTAATGGAAGTTCTTGAAAGCTGTCAGGGAGTCCCTGAAGAAAACTTTGGACAGAGGAGTCCCAGCCTCCAAGAATTGATCCTTTTTAGGATCTCTATTGTGTTGACAAGGAGCAACCATGGGAAGATTGGCCTCCATGTAAATGTGGTAGATTTTCGAGCACAGCAGTTGGGGCCTTTGGTCAATTATGCTCCTGCAGTATTGTGAAGCAAGAAACTGTCAACTTGGGTTTATCTGATATTCCCTCATGGTAAGATCTGATTGCATATTTTTGGCAGTAATGATAGTGAAGCAACATTGTGTCCTTCTTAGTACATATCAGGAGACCTAAAATTTAGGTTTGTTCTATTATCAATAATATGAACATCTTGGCTTAAGGGAGCGTTCACCCAGACTTCTCCATGATATACCTACTATATTTCCTTTTATAACTAATAATACTGTACTTCGTAGAGAGATATTTTGGGCTCCCATCCCGTTTCTCAGTAACTTTCAACCAATAAGCCATACCTGCTGTCTTATGAGTTGTGAGGACATATCTTTTTTTTTTTCACCTACTGAGTTTTCTGTCACAAATTCCCTGATGACCCATAATGGTATCTTACGACACCAAAAAAAAAAAAAAAAGAAAGAAAAAAAGAAAAAAATGAAACCAACATGAAGGCACTCTACTCCTGATGTCATGTGTACAGAAAAGTTAACATAGAGCTGAGACTCAGATCTTTAGAAAGGCTGGCTTGCAAGGCTGGCTCCTGACAAGTATCTGAGTACTTGGATTGGCCAGGAGGATTCCTACCATTCCCTAAATAGCTCGTGGTGCCTACCTTCTTTGGGCAAAGAGGTTTATGCGGAGTATCTATTTTTCCTTCCACGAGTCTCTAATTTTGTTAAGTGCCAGGCAGAGAATGACTAAGTAACTGGCCCCAATAAAAACCTAGGGCACAGAGTCTCTGATGGGTTATCTCTGGTGACATTTCACATGTGTTACCATAATTCAGTGCCGAAGGAATTTAGTACACTGTGATTCCACAGGGAGAGAACTTTCAGAAGCCTGTACAGGATTTCCTCCAGACTTTATCCTATGCACCTTCATCTTTTGCTCATTCTACTTTGTATCCTTTCAGTAACAGATCAGTTGTGAGTACTCCTACGGAATGAAAGAACTCGGATGCAGCTTTAGGAACCAAACTGAAACACCACGACCTAATTAAGCACCTAACATCTGATGAAGGTGTGGTCCACAAAATCAATCCTGGGAATCTGTCTCCAGTAGATAGAATTTCTGAGGAAAGCCCCTTTAATCAACTACAATGAAAAATCATGGTCATGTCTATGTAACAGCATCCAAACCTGTTCTTCATCTTTACTGGTTCCACATCGCTGTTATATTCTTCCTTCATGCATACCTTTTCAAAAGGAAATTTTTTTAAAGGCCTCCACAATGCATTTATACCAATTTTCTTTCTAGCTCCAGGATTTGCTCTCTCCCTGCTATGAATTTAAGCACAGTGTGCCTTAATTACAAGGATACAAGTGTTAAAATTCATCCAATTCTTTGTGCATATGACACCAGAGACCTTTTTTTGGTTTAGAAATTGCCTTCCAGAGACCCTTCCTTAATTTTGATCTTATATGCCATATTGACAATACAGAGCCTCATAACAGCTTAACTACAAGGGATAATCATTTAGTACTTTCCTAAATTCCATTGTAATTTACTGCTTTGGTCATATTCCATATCATATTCAATGACAACCTGAAACATAACTTAAAACGGAAATATGTGGGGGGGATAAGAAATGTGAAAATGCTATAAAATGTTTCTTGCCAGGGTGCCTGGGTGGCTCAGTCAGTTAAGCCTCTGGCTTAGGCTCAGGTCATGATCTCGCGGTTGGTGGGTTTGAGCCCAGCGTCAGGCTTTGTGCTGACAGCTCAGAGCCTGGAGCCTGCTTTGGTTTGTGTCTCCCTCTCTCTCTGCCCTTCCCCATCTCATGCTCTATCTCTCGGTCTCAAAAATAAATAAAAACATTAAAAAAAAATTTTTTAAATGTTCCTTGCCACGGAAAACCACTAGGAAAAGGATCCCTTTACACATGATCTTATATAGGTACATAGATATACATGCATTCACACAAACACATACACTCACAAAGATTTCTGTGATGATGCTATGAAGGCTACAATCTAGGATTCATCAAAGCCCATATATTTCTCCTCTCATCACAGTTATCTGCTATAATCTTAATGGCTTCAAGTTAATATATGAATACAGCCAAATTCAAACTCCTAGATGTGGACTTAACCCCATTTATAAAATATCAGTGACATCATCTATGTGGTGCTCATCTTTTTTGTAGTTTAATCTCATGATCTTAACTTCTGATTATATGATTTCTAAATCAAAGATGTACAACCTATATGACATACTCCTTTCCAAGAGCCATGCTCCAATGCTGCCAATAGCGAAAAGCATGTTATCAATCTCCCCTCAAAAATACATTTGATAAAATTACCGGGGAGGGAGGTATTCCCTTCACGGGCATGGAGGAGAAACAGAGCATAGATCCTACATGAGAAATTTTAGTAAAGAAATAGTAATTAGAAGGCAACATTTTGAGTTGGATGAAAATGCAGAGTTATATAGATCAACAATAAACTCAAGGTCGATTAGGAAAATTGTTATTGGTAATCACTTGTAACATTTTCAAAGTGCTAAATTCTTGCCTTAACACTGATAGATTTTTTAAAAAATCAGTTGTGTGAAATGCAGTTAAGTCCTTGCAAATAAAACTTTCTCAGTCTGTAATGTCAGAAAAATTACAAAAGACAGTTCAATGTAACTGTATGCAATGCTTGGAAAACTACACAGGGTCCCAGATAAGAATCAAACTTGACAACAGAGGCGGTGGAAGGAGAGGAGCCAATGGTGGTAGAGTAGTAACATTAACAATGTGGACTGTAATATCGAGTGGTTCTCTACAGTTCAACAAATGTTCATTTCCCTGAATTCTACTTTGTAGGTTTCCTCCTCTGGATATAATTTTCATATGTTGTTTACGTAACATACAGGGAGTGAGCACACCTACATGTGCTGGTCAATGTTAAGGCTGTGCAGACTTTTTTTTTTTTTTTTTGCCAAGTTTTTATTTAAATTCCAGTTAGTTAAGATACAGTGTATTAGTTTCAGGTATACAATATAGTGCTTCAGAAATTCCACATATCATCCGGTGCTCAACACAAGTGAACTCCTTAATCACCGTCACCTATTTAACCCATCCCCCACCCACCTCCCTTCTGATAACCAGCAGTTTGTTCTCTATAGTTAAGAGTCTTTCTTGGTTTGCCTCTCCTTTGCCCTTTGCTGGTTCCTTGTTTCTTGAATTCCGCATAGGACCAAAATTATACGGTTATTTGTCTTTGACTCATTTCACTCAGCAATATACCCTTACATCCATCTACGTCATTGCCAATGGCAAGATTTCATTCTTTTTTTAATGGCTGAGTAATATTCCGTTGTATATATACACACACGCCACATCTTCCTTATCCAGTCATCAATTGATGGACACCTGGGTTCTTTCCATATTTTGGTTACTGTAAGTAATACCGCTATAAACATTGGGGTGCATGTTATCACTTTAGTGTTTTCATATTCTTTGGGTAAATACCTAGTAGTGCAACTGCTGGATCATAGGGTAGTTCTATTTTTCATTTTTTGAGTAACCTCCATACTGTTTTTAACAGCGGCTGCACCAGTTTCCATTCTTGTTAACAGCGCAGGAGGGTTCCCCTTTCTCCACATCTTTGCCAACACCTGTTGGTTTTTTGTGTTGTTGCTTTTAGCCATTCTGACAGGTGTGAGGTGATAGCTCATTGTAATTTTGATTTGCATTTCTCTGATAAGTGACGTTGAGCATCTTTTTATGTCTGGTGGCCATCTACATTTCTTTTTGGAGAAATGTCTAATCAGGTCTCTGCCCATTTTTTAATTGGATTTTTTTTGGGGGGTGGAGTTTTATAATCTTTATATATTTTGGATATTAACTCCTTTCATTTGCAAATATCCTATTCAGTAGGCTGCCTTTTAGTTTTGTTGTTTCCTTTGCTGCACACCTTACTCTTCTGATGCAGTTCCAATAGTTTATTTTTGCTTTTGTTTCTCTTACTTGTAGAGACCTATTTAGAAAAAAAAATTGCTACAGCTGATACCAGAGAAATTACTGCCTAAGCTTTCTTCAAGGACTTTCATGGTTACAGGTCTCCCACTGAGGTCTTTAACCTATTTTGAATTTATTTTTGTGTATGGTGTAACAAAGCAGTCCAGTATCATTCTTTTGCATGTTGCTATCCAGTTTTTGCCAACACTATTTGTTGAAAAGGCTGTCTTCTTCCCTTTGGGTATTCTTTCCTGCTTTATTGTAGATTAAGTGACCATGTATTTGTGGATTCATTTTTGGGTTTTCTATTCTGTTGTAGTGACCTATGTGTCTATTTTTGTGCCAGTACAACACTATTTTGTTTGCTACAGTTTTGTAACATAACTCGAAGTCCAGAATTATGATGCCTCCAGCTTTGAAGGCTATGTAGATTTAGCAGCAAAGTCCCCGCCCTCAGGCAGCTTACATTCTAGTGGGTATGAATTCTGGCACGCTGACCATTATACTTGTGTTAAAGGCCAGACCAAACTCTTCCTAAGTACTATCTAAGTGCTTCTGAACAAAGCCGTATCACACCATTTAAGGGTTCTCCACTGTGTGACCTGGTGAAAACTGAGACGTTTAATTATTGCTCAAATACCAACTAAACTAAAACAAGTATTTTCTCTCTTATGAGGCTCAATGATGATGAGAATTCAGGGTTTCACAGAACGTCATTTTGGAGAACTTCTTTCCACGGACAATTCCTTCATGTTCCTGCCACCCTTGTTACTTTCATAAACCGTACTGCCGCCATGAGTTTTGCGATGATGTGAAAGTTTGGATCGCCAACGGAAACTCTGACCACAGGTCTCACACTTGTAAGGTGTCTCCCCTGTGTGGACTCTCTGATGAGACTGTAGCTGTGAAGAATGGCGGAAGACCTTGCCGCACACGTCACATTTGTATGGTTTCTCCTCACTGTGGACACTCTGATGAACCTTAAGACTTGAGGCCTGACTGAAGTGCTTCCCACACTCCCCACACTTGTAGGGTTTCTCTCCTGTGTGGACCCTCTGATGCATGTCAAGATTCAAGCTCCACTTGAAGCCCTTCCCACACTCCTCACACTTGTATGGCTTCTCTCCAGTGTGGACTTTTTGATGGGCTTGAAGGTGTGAACTGCGACCAAAGCTCTTCCCACACTCAACACATTTGAAAGGATTCTCTCCACTGTGAAATCTCTGATGTGCCAGAAGATTGGCAGCCTGCCTGAATACTTTCCCACACTCCTCACAATTAAAAGGTTTCTCTCCTGTGTGGATTCTGCAGTGAATTTTGAGATCTGCTCTACGATTGAATCCCTTCCCGCACTCTTCACATTTGTGGGGTTTCTCTCCAGTGTGGATCAACTGGTGAATCTGAAGTCGGGAACTCTGATTGAAGCCCTGCCCACACTCCTCACACTTGTATGGTTTCTCTACGCTGTGCGTCTTCAGATGGGACTGAAGATATGCTCTCTGACTAAAGTCCTTCCCACATACCTCACATTTATAGGGTCGCTCTCCCGTGTGGACCACTAGATGAACTTGATAACGGGTTTTCGTCCCGAAGTTCTTCCCACACTCATCGCATTTGTATGGTTTCTCTCCTGTGTGGACTCTCTGATGTGCCTGAAGATTGGAACTCATAGTGAAGCCTTTACCACACACTTTACATACATATGGTTTCTCACCAGTATGGATTCTCTGATGGGCCCGAAAATGTGAAGGCTGAATAAAGCCCTTCCCACATTCCTCACATTTATAAGGTTTCTCTCGTGTGTGGCCCTTCTGGTGGATGTGAAGATTTGTGCTACAAAAGAAACACTTCCCGCACTCCTCACATTTGAACAGTTTTTCTCCCGTGTGGACCATACAATGACTATTCAGTGATGATCTACGACGAAACTTCTTACCACATTTATCACATTTGAAGGGTTTCTCCCCAGTGTGGATTCTCTGATGTTCCTGAAGATGGGAGGCATGAATGAAGGCCCTTCCACATTGGTCACAACGATATGGTTTCTCTTCCATGTGCAATTTATAATGAACATTAAGTGCTGACCTACGACAGAAGCCATTCCCACATTGCTCACATTTGAATGGCTTCTCTACAGTGTGGACTTTCTGATGTGTTTGCAGGCACGAGCTCTGACTGAATTCCTTCCCACACTCATCACACTTATAGCGTTTCTCTCCCAGGTGAACTCTCTGATGAATATGAAGTGCTGAGCTGTAACAGAAGCTTTTTCCACACTCACGACACGTGTGAGACTTCACTCCTGACTGTACTTGTTGATGAAGATCAAAGTTGGAGACATCACTGAAATATTTCTTAAATTCACTGCACTGATCTGGTTTCTGACCTGTGTGAGTTTCTGATAGTCCAGTCCCAGGCTGTCCAGGTAAATCACTTTGTTTGGGGAACTGAGAACTCTTTTTCATGGAGCCTTCACACCGGGTTAAGTCACTTGCAATCTGTTGCCAGATCTGCCAGCAGGAAAGCTCTTCATGTGGTTCTGCTTCCAAAACAGTCTTCATTTTACTTTGTATCTTTCCGCCTGTAAAGACAGAGAAGCAGAGATGTGGACAACTGAAGGTTTTGTTCAGTATTTTCAAGATTTTACACTTAGGAGAGAGTGTAAGACTCTACTGAACCCAGAGGATGTTCGGTTGGTCTTTTCCACAGTGGTCTGGTCTGCAGGTGTATGAAGCCCAAGAGGAGGTCCAGTGGGTTCCTAATCACAAAGCCCATTTTCCCTTCCTCTCTCCACCCATCAGCCCTCAGTTTATTCTCTGTAAGAGTCTCTTATGGTTGCCTCTAGGACCATTTCTACTGAATTTGAAAGTCAGTGTAGAATACTGAATAGAAAACTATGTAGTTAATAAATTATGTAGTTAGAAAAGTTATGTGGATAATAAAATATGAATCAACTAGAACTTACGGGAAAGCAATAACAATCAAATTTTAGATTCGTTGTATGTCTGAATATCAAATACCTTGAAATATTATATTTATATAGTCAAAGTATTCCTGGAAATTCTGCACATGCTCACCTAACCAATCTTTCTGTGTTGACAGATGTTAAATGAGTTGGCTACTATTACAAACTTCTGACCACTTCTAATAATTTAAGTTCAAAATGTGTTTTCTAAAACATTTACCCCACTCATGTTCCCAAGTCTCTATATTTACATAAAGATTATCTAAACAACTGAAGATTATTTTTTCAACAAATTTTTCAAAAAGTACTTTTTAAAAACTCAACAAGAAAAAAAGAACCTGTTTAAAAAAAAGAACCCATTTAAAAATGGACCAAAGACCTTAACACTGAAGAGGATCTACAGATGGTGCTAAGTGTGTGAAAAGATGCTCCCACCATGTTATGTTATGCAAATCCAAACACCCAGATACCATTGCACATGCATGAGAATGCCCAAAATCTAGGACACCAACACCACCAAGTGCTGGCCATGACGTGGAGCACCAGGAACTCATTCATTGCTGGTAGAAATACAAAATGGCACAGACACTTTGGAAGACAGTTTGGTGGTTTCTTACAAAACTAAACATACCCTTACCATACTCTCCTACTACCGCACGGTTTGTTATTAACCAAAAGGAGCTGAAAATTTATGCCCACCCAGGAATCTATACACGGACAAAAGCTGGACAAGGTTTATTCACGAGGACAAAACTTTGAAGGAACCAAGATGTCCTTCACTCGGTGAATAGATAAAAATTCACTGTCCACACAATGGAATGTTATTTGGTGCTAAAAAGAAATGAGCTACTGAGCCATGAAAAGATAGAGAGGAAATGTAAATGCATATTACTAAGTGAAAGAAGCCAAACTGAAAAGTATGAGTCCAACTATAAGACATTCTTGAAAAGGCAAAGGCATGGAGACAGGAAAAAGATCAATGGTGGCCATAGGTTAGAGGAGAGAGGGATGAAGAGGCAGAGGACAGAGGATTTTTAGGGTGGTGTAACAACTCTATATGATACTACAAAGATGGATACATGGCTTTATCCATTTGCCCAAGTCCATATAATATACAAGAGTCAACCCTACCTAAATGTGTAATACAGACTCCGTGGTAATGATGTATCAATACAGGTTCATCAGTTGTATCTCGTGGGGAAACTGATAATGTAAGAGGTAAGCATGTGGGGGCGGGGGCATATGGGAGATCTGTCCCTTTCTCTCAATTTTGCTGTGCCCCTAAAACTGCTCTAGAAAAATAATCGTTGAAAGCACTGCTAAAGAAATGTTTAAAGGGGAAATTCACTCGCCTTCCTGTATGAACAGTCCATTAAAATTAAAGCTGCTTCCATTTCGATCCACTAGACACGTGGGAAACAGCCTCTACAGAGCCCTGCCTTGGGTCGCTTTATTGGAAAGTCACTTCAGTGTCAAGGTGACCTGCAATGTCTAGAATGACTTGTGGGTTTGGGAGCAAACACCTAATGGCACGCTGACTGAAACAGCATAAAGCAGACAGTGGAACTTTACCTTCTACTTTCAAAGACATGTGAAAGGGAAATGAAGTTGAACACAAAACATACATGATTCTAAAACCTGATGGTAATTCAGATCTCTAGGAAAGAAGTAAAAGCAACAGAAACAGAGTCTGGGAGAAGGAAAAGATGAGGTCACGGTGTAAACTCTGAAAGCCAGCTCTGCTGCGGGAGTTTGATCTTGCCAGGAACGCTTCCTGAATAGACACATAGCTTCCTGGACAGACACATAGACAGAAGAAGCTTCCTGGACAGACACATGGATGATTCCTGGACAGACACATGGATGATTCCTCATGACCTGTAGGTCTCTGCTCAAATTCAGTGCAGCAACGAGCCCCTTTACTGCCCGGTGTAAAATAAGCAGTTCTGTCCTCCCCCAGATCACCTCTGGCAACGCCCGTCCTTCCTTGTTTATGTTCCATGCAGCCCCCTCACCACGTGACTCGCCAAGTCCTCTGTGGGATGCCATATGTCTGTCCCACCACAATGCCCCATCAAGGAGGGAAGCATGTTATAACTTGTACACTGAACCCATTTTACACTTTCCCACTTTATAACCAATGTCAGGAAGCGCGCCTGGAGCGTGGTGAGCACTGCACAAATGCATGTTAAATGAATAAATGAATCCCAGTTTGATTACTTAGGTGAGAGTTTAAGCCAAAAGTCCTAGAAGGAAAACATCTTTTCCAAGTAAGTTATTTGACGCAGAAAAGGGACAGAACACTGTGGTTTTTCTGGGAAGCTGAAAAGCTGCACAAGGGACATCAAGCAGGATGCTAATAAAACAATAATAAAAAGTGGCAAGTGTCCCTGGGGTGAAAAGAAAGGAAGGCCTATTGCTGGTTCCTTCTGAAGCTTTAGGACTGTCTCTTTGATAACAGAATGTGGATGAACTGTGGATATACAATGTGTGTGTGGACAACAGAACCCATCACAACAGGTTTTCAAAGTGAAAAACTTCCAGGACTCTAGTGAGCTGGAAAGATTTATTTTTCAAAAAATTTTTTTACTGTTTTATTTATTTCTGAGAGACAGAGAGAGACAGCATGAGCAGGGGAGGGTCAGAGAGAGAGGGAGACACAGAATCCAAAGCAGGCTCCAGGCTCTTAGCTGGCTGTCAGCACAGAGCCCAACACGGAGCTCGAACCCACGAACCGTGAGGTCATGGTTTGAGCTGAAGTCGGGGCTTAATCCACTGGGCGACCCAGGTGCCCCTGAGCTGGAAAGATTTAAAAGCTTGTAATAAGCTTTCAGAAAAAAGAATCAAGACAGAAACTGTCAGAGTATTGGTGCCAACAGGACAGGGGTCATTATGTGAAATGCCTGCGAAAGTCACAGATGAAAACCTACAATATGCACACGTTTGCTCTGGTTACAATGAAAGATGCATTTCTCACTATGGCTCTTGCTCAAAAAGACTTGAAAATTGTTTCTAGAAGTTACCCTGTCCTTAACTAATTACATTGTTCAAATGGAAAGATAAGTTACAAGAATAGAATCTAGGCGGGGGGCGCCTGGGGGGCTCAGTCGGTTGAGCGTCCACTTCGGCTCAGGTCATGATCTCACAGCTTGTGGGTTTGAGCCCCGCGTCGGGCTCTGTGCTGACAGCTCAGAGCCTGGAGCCTGCTTCAGATTCTGTGTCTCCCTCTCTCTCTGATCCTCCCCTGCTCACATTGCCTCTCTCTCTCTCTCTCTCAGAAATAAATAAAACATTAAAAAAAAAGAATAGAATCTTGGGGAAAATGTTAATGGTGAATATGTACTTTTTGGTAACTAATAGTTATATTTATGGTTAGTGGTTCTATTTAACAAACTGACCATTAAAAAGAGTACTTGTGTGAGGGGAACAGGGAGTCTCTCTGAGGATGTGACAATTTTTTTTAAAGATTGTTTTTTTAACGTTTATTTATCATTGACAGAGACAGAACACAAGCAGGGGAGGGCAGAGAAAGGGGGAAACACAGAATCCGAAACAGGCTCCAGGCTCTGAGCTGTCAGCACAGAGCCCGATACTGGGCTTGAACCCACAAACCACGAGATCATGACCTGAGCTAGAGTCGGATGCTTAACCAACTGAGCCACCCAGGTGCCCTGAGGATGTGACAATTTTAAGCAGGAAATTTCCTGATTCTTTCTACATTAGAATGTTCACTAGTTGGAGGGCATCTGGGTAGCTCAGTCGGAAAGGAGGAAAGGGGCCCCAAGTTCAAAACCTGGGGGTACCCTCTAGGGGCTGAAAAAGCCAAGACACAGATTGTCCCCTGGCGCCTCCAAAAAGAAATGCAACTGTGCAGACACCTTGACCGTAGCCCAGTAAGAACCGTGCCACACTTCTGACCCAGAGAACTGTAATCAGGCCGTGCTGTTCCAGGCCACGAAGTGAGTGGCAGCCTGTGTGGGCAGCAGGCCGCTAAGGCGTCCGTGGCAGGTCCGGGAGGGGCAGGGGGTGGGTGGGCGGGGCTGAGCATGAGGAGGCGGGTGGGCGCTGTACTCAGAGAGGAAGCGGGGGAGAGGAGCACCACAGAGGAGTCAAGAGGCCGGTTCAAGAGGTTTCAACTCCAAGAAAAAGAAGCCACAAAGGGTCTCGAGCGGAGGAACGGGCTCTTACGGTTACTTAGGATCACAGCGGCTACTACGGGGAGGACGGACAACGCAAGAGGAAGCGTGGGAATAGGCGAGCGGGACGAAGGCGCCTGAAATGATTCAAGGGACAGTTTAGCAACTTGGACCAGGTGACGGCAAAGGGGGCGGGGAGAAGCAAAGACACACAGGAGGACACCTACAAGGACGCCTGCCTGCTTGGCTCTCACCTGATTCCTCTCCTCTGTGGCTTGCTAGTGTCACCTAAAGCGTTTTTACCTTCTCTACGTGGGATATACCATGTCTGCAGGGGTGGGGCTTCGTGAACACGCAAAGTCACATATTTAAATGAACACACAAGGGGCGCCTGGGTGGCTCAGTCGGTTAAGGATCTGACTCTGGCTCAGGGCATGAGGTCACGGTTCCTGAGTTTGAGCCCTGCTTCAGATCGTCTCTCTCCCTCTCTCTCTGCCGCTCCCCCACTGACGCACGCACACTCTCCCCCTCCCTCAAAAACAGAAAACTAAACGTTTATAAATTAAAAAAATGCCCACACCAAAAGTACAATTGACAGGACATTTGGAGTCCTACACATACTGATCACTTAGTCGAAACCAGCATTTTTCAACCATTTTTCAAAACACAGCCCAAACTGGGGTGCCTGGGTGGCTCAGTCAGTTAAGCTCCTCACTTCAGCTCAAACCATGATCTCAAGGTCTGTGAGTTCAAGCCCCGCGTTGGGATCTGTGCTGACAGCTCGGAGCTTGGAGCCTGCTTCAGATTCTATGTCCCCCCCCTCTCTGCCCCTCCCCTGCTCACATTCTATCTCTCTCTCCCTCAAAAATAAACATTAAAACAAACAAAAAAACCATGGCCCATATTTCAAGACCCAGACATACATGTACAAAGATGCATAACAAACACCTATTTCTAACCAATGTCTATTTTCACTAAATCTCCTCCCACTGGGCTCCTACACCACTGACAAAACTGAGGAGAGACCTTGCTACAGTGTATTCTGTTCTTTCTAAAAAGTGAGATTTTCTACTTTATTTTACTTCACTAAAAATTTTTAATACACCATAAATACCATTTATGGTGACCATGTCAAGACCCCCAAAGCCTTGAACACACAAGGACACAGCCAACCCAGGAAGCTGACCCTGAGTCACAGAGCGCGGGTCCTCACCCAGCGAGAGCAGGTTCCGGAAGTTCTCCAGCATCACGTCTCCATACAGCTGCTTCTGGGCGGGGTCCAGCAGCCCCAGCTCCTCCTCGGTGAAGACCACAGCCACGTCCTTGAACGTCACCATCTCCTACAATACCAAGCACACACAACCTCAATCTCGCACCCAATGGCCACTGGGTACCACGGAGGAGGTGGAGAGGATGCTGGGACGTGGTTCCAGAGTTTGAGGACTCAAGTCCATCTGTAGGCTTCCAGATGCTTCTCCTTCTAAGCTGCCAATGCCACTGTTTCCTCAGCTTCCCAAAGTGTGCAACAATGACAATGTCCTTGTATTTTGGGTCCTCGTGGAATCTACTTACAAGGAACCACCAAGAACTCTATACACACCCTGGACAACACACGTTTTACTTTCCGATGCGTATTGCTCATTGCCCCAGAAGCATTCAGCAATTTAGTCCAAACATTTGATAGTACCTGCCTTCCTTCCTGTCTCATACACAAACACTCACACACACACACACACACACACACACGAACCCTATCACTTTGGTTTAACATGTGCCAAACTAACAAGCTTTGGCTACCCTTTTGGGACAGCTCCATGCTTCTCCTGCGTGATGTTCAGCATCACGTTCTAGAGCCAGCATGCCTCAGCCCGGTTCCTGAGGGCCTGTGCCTTACTAGCTGTGTGATTTTGGACAAGTTTGCCCCTGTGCCTGAGTTTCTTCTCTGTACGTGGTCAGGGTTCTTTCAAGGATTAAACAAGGGGAGATCTCTAGCACTTGGAACTAACTGTATGGCACACAGCAAGTGCCTAACAAATGTTTGCTATTATGCATAGTATTTCTTCGCATTGCCATTACCAATAACTACCTCATCTCAGGGCACCAGGTGGCTCAGCTGGTTAAGTGTCCAACTCATGATTTCAGTTCAAGTCATGATCTCACAGTTGTGAGCTCAAGCCCCAAGTTGGGCTCTGTACCGGGCATGGAGCTTCCTTGGGATTCTCTCTCGCTCTCTCTCTCTCCTTCTGCCTCTCCCCAACTTGCTCCCATGCTCTCAAAAAAAAAACAAAAAAACAACCCAATAAAAATATTTCGTCTAAGGGTGTCTGGATGGCTCAGCTGGTTAAGTGTCCAACTCTTGATTGCAGCTCAGGTCATGATCTCATGGTTAGAGCTGAAGTCCCACATCGGGCTCTGTACTGACAGCGTGGAGCCTGCATGGGATTCTCTCTCCTCCTCTCTCTCTGCCCCTCCCCCACTTGCTGTCTCTCTAAAATAAATAAATTAAAAAAATATTTCATCTCATTTTGTGGCTGTGTTTTACCCCAGAGAACAGATAAACTACACTTACCTATTCTGATTAAACAGTATTTAATTTTACATATTTTTCTCATTACAATGTATCCTTTGAAAAAACATCACTTTTTATTTTTTAAATGTTTTTTATTTATTTCTAGGGGAGAGAGAGAGAAAGACAGCGTGAGCAGGGGAGGGTCAGAGAGAGAGGGAGTTACAGACTGAAACAGGCTCCAGGCTCTGAGCTGGCAGTCAGCACAGAGCCCGACGCGGGGCTCGAACCCACGAACCGCGAGATCATGACCTAAGCAAAAGTTGGACGCTTAACCGACTAAGCCACCCAGGCGCCCCGAAAAAACATCATTTTATGTAGACCTTGTTTTCCTGGTTACTCGAAAATGATTGCAAAGGAAAATTAAAATGTGAAAAATGAATACGTTTAAAATTGTAATCCTATACTGGCAGATTTTCTTCCCCCTCTCTTTCCTATGTCCCTAATCTTTCAAAAGAGAAAACCACCTCTCTGGGTCTCCATATGAAGCCAAGAGCAGGCTACACATTTTTCCCACAGCTTTGGTAATCTCCTTTGGAACAACAGTGTCTATTATTATTGCCATGTATTTGATTGTAAATTAATATAACTACCTTTGCGGTATTTGTGTTTCTCATTTTTAACATGCCTATTCGTGTCCTTGTTTGTATTTCAGTGGATTTTTTTTTTCCTTTACCGTATGCATAAGATTTGTTATCATGGGCTCTCTTTTTTTGCATCCCTGCAGGAAATATTCTTGCCTGAGGTTGTCACTTCTGGTAATTCCATGTAAGGTATCTTTTGCCACAGAGAAATGTGAAGATTTTATGTATTTATTTTCAAAATTTTTAATGTTTACTTATTTTTGAGAGAGAGAGAGAGAGAGACAGAGCCCAAGTAAGGGAAAACGGAGAAAGGGGGAGACACAGAATCCCACGCAGGCTCCAGGCTCCGAGCTGTCAGCACAGAGCCTGACGCGGGGCTCAAATTCACAAACCGTGAGATCATGTCCTGAGCTGAAGTCAGAGGCTCAACCGACTGAGTCACCCAGGAGCCCCTAAAGATTTTATATTTAGAATTTAAATTTTATAAAGGACTGTGCTAACTGCTGTCAATGTGCTCGCAGCGAAGAGCAGGTCAGTGCGGCACAGCGACTGCAGGAACACACATCCTGAGAAAGGGGTCGCGGAGCAGGCCAGCTGGGGAAATCATCTCTTGAGGGGCACCTGGGGGGCTCAGTTGGTTGAGCGTCCAATTCTTGGTTTTGGCTCAGGTCGTGATCTCATGGTTTGTGGGTTCAAGTCCTGCATCGAACTCTGTGCTGACAGCATAGAGCCTGCTTTTATTCTCTCTCTCTCTCTCTCTCTCTGCTCCTCCCCTTGCTCACACTCTCTCTCTCAAAAATAAATAAAATATAAAAATAAAAAGTAAAATCCCTAAACCATATACACGTCTGTGAACAGGAAGTAAAGACAAAAGGTACATCGATTCAATGGGGACAATGCAACTGTGAAAAGTGAACATTCCAAAACATTAAAGGGAAAAAAGTGAGAATTTAAAATTAGGTGTGTATCACAAATACAAATTGTTATGGATGCTGACAAGCATGAGCGTCGGAGAAAATAAAAATAGCTCATTGGCAAAGGGGAAGTAATGAAGTGGGAGAATTGCTCGTTTCTAGTCATTTTTTCTACTCCGTAAAATAAATAATAAAACGAAAACTAAAAATACACGCAAAGTAAATCCAAAAGGGACAATATTAAGACCCTGGCACAAAATAGGTCCTCGAATGCCTGGAGGCTCTGCTTGAGTCATCCCCAGAAAAATGTGTGACCATCTGAATAATGAGATGGAATTTGGAAAGTGAGACAGGCAAGCCCTCCTCACCTTAAACATGGTCATGGGTCCTCCTCCTGGCGGTGTGCAGAGCACGGAGTTGCACAGGTCCCAGGAAGGCAGAGCTGCACCTGGCCGGGGCCCTAGGGAGGCAGAAAAAAGGCACTGAAGTTAGCCCAGGATGCCACTCACCCCCAGGCATGATTACTGTGAATCCATACATGAACATTCACAGCACCATTATTCCTGATAACCCCCCAACCGGAAACCACCGAAATGTCGACCTATGACCTATGCACGAAGGAACAAATTAATTGTGGAAAATCCATACAGTGGAATGTTATTCAAATGCTTTTAATATAATTAGAAGGAATGAAATTCTGATCATGCTGCCACATGGATGAACCTGGTAAGCGGTGCTGAAAGTCAAAGAAGCCAGTCACAAAAGGCCAGCTATTTTATGATTCCGTTCATGGAAAATGTCCAGAAGAGGCAAATCTAGCAGACAGAAAGCAGGTTAGTGGTCGCCTGGGGAGTAGGGAAGAAAATGGGGGTGAACTGAAAACGGGCATGAGGAATCCAACTGAGGGAATGAACACGTTCTAAACTGAATTACAGCAATGGCTGCAACCACTTGGCAAAGTTACTAAAAGTCAATGATTTGTGCGACTAAAACGGGTGGATTCTCTGATATGTACACTATACACCAGGTTGGTATAAATAATCGTTCATCTACGTGTCACTTAAATTATGAAACTGACAGATTCTAAGGGCAATTGATAACAAAATTTATATTTGAGTAAGTAGGGAACATGGGGAAGCATGGCCTCAAAGCAAAATGCCACTAATAAGTGTATCTCCCCATAAACTTTAATAATTTGGGGGCATCTGGGTGGCTCAGTTGGTTGAGCATCCGATTTTGGCTTGGGTCATGATCTCATGGTTTGCGAGTTTGAGCCCCGAGTCAGGCTCAGAGCCTGGAGCCTGGTTCAGATTCTGTGTCTCATTCTCTCTCTGCCCCTCCCCCACTTGTGCTCTGTCTCTCAAAAATAAATAAATGTAAAAAAGAAATTTAAAAAAATAAAAAAATAAACTTTATTAATTTTGATTTAAAAAACAGTAACTTTAGGGGAGTCTGGCTGGCTCAGTCAGTAAAGCGTGCGACTCTCCATCTGCAGGTTGTGAGTTCCAGCTTCACGCTGGGTGTAGAGATTACTTAAAAAATACAATCTTTAAAAAAAATAATAAACAAAAATTAGTGACCTTACAGTGGAGATTTAACAGAAATCGCCTTAGCCTAGGTAACAAAGTTGGGTTCACCAATGCATGGACAGACTGACCTCCTTTGGCCTCTGTTATGCAGCAATGTCAAGGACGCCTCAATGCTCTGTAGAGTCCCTCCTAATGATGCATAACTGAACCTAAATATGCAGTACATCACATAAACCCCAAATGAAGAACTTTCTCCAAAATAACTTGCCTCTGCACTCTTTAAGAGCATCAAGAACAACAGGGGCACCTGGCTCTGTTGATGGCGTGTGCGACTCTTGCTCTCGGGGTTGTGAGTTCAGGCCCCACGCTGGGTGTATAGCTTACATGAAAAACAAAAAGTAAAAAAAAAAAAAAAAAAAAAAAAAAGGCAGCAGCATCAACAAAAAAGACAAAAGTTATGGAACGTATTCCACATTAAAGAACATCAAGTTTATGATAAGGTTTTTGTACAATGTTTACAAATATACAGTTTAAGGCAGTGCATAGATTGGGCTTTGAACTGGGATGGGGGAAGGGAGACTGGTTGTAAGGCAGCTACGTGAAAAACAGAACAAAATTAAATATAAGATGTGGATTACAAAACAGGATGCTATGTTATCCAGCATTATTTAATAGGTACCACTGTTAACTACTACTTCTAATAACTCATTAGATATCTAATAGATAACTCTCTTACGTAGTATAACATCCAATATTACCAAGCATGGGACGTTAAAATTCTATAATCAGCCTCCCCTAAATCCCTCTTACCAAGACACCTCCTGATTAACCATATGTGGGGCTGCCTTCCTTCAGAAAGCTAAAAATAAGCTGTTACTGAAGAGCAGGTATATTCCTGGTATTACGGGGCTGATGGGGCCACAAGACAGGCAGGCAAAATGTAAACAATTGGGGAATCTGGGTAAAGAGTGTATGAGGGGCACCTAGATGGCTCAGTCAGTTAAGCGTCTGGCTCTTGATCTCGGCTTGGGTAATGATTTCAAGATTCTTGGGGTCGAGCCCCAAATCAGGCTCTGCACTGATAACACGGAGCCTGCTTGGGATTTTCTCTCTCTCTATCCCTCCCCAACTCACTATCCCCTAAAACAAATAAATTTTTTTAAAAATTAGTTTTTTATCTTTTTATTTATTTTTTTAATGTTTTATTTATTTCTGAGAGAGAGACAGAGACAGAGTGAGCAGGGGAGGGTCAGAGAGAGAGGGAGACACAGAATCCGAAGCAGGCTCCAGGCTCTGAGCTAGCTGTCAGCACAGAGCCTGATGCGGGGCTCGAACCCACGAACCGTGAGATCATGACCTGAGCCGATGTCGGAAGTCCAACCGACTGAGCCACCCAGGCGCCCTTAAAAAATTAGTTTAAGAGAGCATATGAGAATGCCTTATACTATGTTTGCAACTTTTCAGTGGAAAAATTTTAAATTATGCAAAAATAAAGTCTTATACCATCCGGAAACAGTCGCAGAAACAATAATAATAATGGGAATAATAAGGATGATCATGAAATTAAATGGCAGTTCATTAGTTTATTCTTTGTTGGCAATGTTTAAAACTCAGCCGTAGTTATGTGGCACCTGGCTGGCTCATTCAATACAGCATCCAACTCTGGATCATATGAGCCCCACAATAGGTGCAGAGATTACTTAAAAATAAAATTGTAGGGGCGCCTGGGTGGCTCAGTCAGTTAAGCGCCCGACTTCGCCTCAGGTCATGATCTCACGGTTCATGGGATCAAGCCCTGCATCTGGCTCTGTGCTGACAGCCAGCTCAGAGCCTGGAGCCTGCTTCGGATTCTGTGTCTCCCTCTCTCTCTGCCCCTTCCCCACTCACAGTGTCTCTCTCTCTCTCTCAGTATACATAAAGAACCTAAAAAAAAAAAAAAAAGAATAAAGCATATTACTAGTAATAAGTGGAATAAAATATTTGACAATGGCTTTAAAAACTCAGAAAAGTCAAAGCCCTTTAGCCTTGCTTTTAAGGTCTTCCAGACCCAAGTCCTAACTACCCCGGGGTCTGATGCCTGCTAGTTCCTACAGCTGCAGAACATACCTGAGAGATTAGCAACTTGAGCTCTGGACTCAGACTGCCTTCATTCCAACCCCATCAGCCTCTTCCTAGGCGGGGACTATGGGCAAATAATTTATGCTCCCTGGGTCTCAATCTCATTTTATAGAACAGAAAAATTAAAACAAAAACCAAAAAAAACGCAGAATTTCTTCACAGAGCTGTGGTGTGGCACGATATACTTATTTGTATAAAACCGTCATTGTTGAGGTTGGCGATTAAGGAAGAATTATTACTAATAGCCATGCCCAATTACACATCCTATACATGATCTAACTGATGAGAATATCATTGTTAAAATTTTTTTTTTTTTAATGCTGTATTTATTTCTAGGAGAGAGAGAGAGAGAGAGACAGCGTGAGCAGGGGAGGGTCAGAGAGACAGGGAGTCGCAGACTCGGAAACAGGCTCCAGGCTCCGAGCTGGCAGTCAACACAGAGCCCGACACGGGGCTCGAACCCACAAACTGCGAGATCATGACCTAAGTGAAAGTCTGACGTTTAACAGACTAAGCCACCCAGGTGCCCCGAGAATATCATTGTTAAAGAAAGTGCCCAGGGGTGCCTGGGTGGCTCAGTCAGTTACGCATCTGACTCTTGATTTCTGCTCAGGCCATAATCTCATGGTCGGGAGTGCCAGCCCCATGACAGGCTCTGTGCCAGCAGCAGGGAGCCTGCTTCTAATTCTCGCTCTCTCTCTGCCCCTCCCCCACGCCCCACTCTCTCAAAACACATAAATAAGCATTTAAAAGAAAGAAAGAAAAATGCCAAGTCCCACTCACGTAGAACCTTGCTGTTAGTAGCCAAGGAGTCACTTTTTCCACCTCTGTGCAACCCTTTCTGAGAAGTCAGGCTAGGGGGAGAAAAAAGAATGTCATGAGATGCCAAGATCATGTCGCTGTCCTCAATAAGCATGCAGTCTGGGGGGTACCTGGGTGACTCGGTTGAGCATGAGACTCCTGATTTCATCTCAGGTCATGATCCCAGGGTTGTGGGACTGAGCCCCACGTTGGGTATAGAGCATGCTTAAGATGCCCTCTCTCCCTCTGCCCCTCTCCCCCTCTCATGCCTGCTCTCTTACTCTAAATTTTTTTTTAAAAAGTGCAATCTGGAAGCAACCCTCATCACGAACTAGACCCCAAGACCTGATATTTACTGCCCACTTGCTTGTACTCACTAGCTTCTGTCTTACATTTTCCCTTTAAGCTCTTCTTTCTAGTTCACCTCTTACCTCACGCCAATGAAACCGGAAACTACCTCAGGTGATGACAATTGCCCTGACAAGACCTGGCCCAGGCCCAGACCACCCAGACCTTCGGACCTAACCCTCCAACTCGTGCCTGCACAGAAGGGCCATGCAGTGACTTCTGGAAATGACCTACAATTACCTTTACCTCACTATAATCCTAAAATCTCTGCCCCAGGAGGCGCCTCTGACTCAGTTACGTAACACAACATACAAGCATGTTTCCATAAGGCGCATGCTCATCCCTATGCCTGCCTCCACATACGATGTCAAGCCTTCCCTCTCTAAATATTCATCCTAACCCTCAACAAAGAAACCCATTCAACCTCTTTTGGGGATTCACGGCCGTGGAAGCCATGATCTCCTTATGTGCTTGCAAATCCAAGTTTTCTTTGTGCAACAACTCAATCTGGTAAGGTTTCTGACTTACCAAGGTAGGAACTCAACGTTACTTCCATTGTACCCTCCCCTTTCTAAATGAGAGATTAGAAGGGGCCGGAATGATCCAGTATTGGGCAGGAATCAGAGAAGAGCAAAGGTCACCGCAGTTGGATATCTGACCCTAATCGGGGGACTTGACAGACGGTTGGGAAATTAATACTAAAAGGAGGTCACCATTCCCCATATGCCAGGAACTGGTTTGAGATTTTTTATTTCCTCAGCGATAGCTGGCGGCGGGGGTGCAAGAGCACCTGGCTTTGAGGGGTGGGGTGTCCCCAAACAGACCGGATTCGATCCCTCTCTGCTGACAAAAGCCAAAGGCAGAGAATCTAGTCTAGGTGTATAAGAAAGGAATGTATCTCAAGTGAGGCGAACACCAAAAGACCGCAAAGACTGACGGCTCAAAGACTGTCTTCAAATTGCTAAAAATACGTCCGGGTTTATGGAAGGAAAACGTGAGGCAAAGGCGGGTGGGTCCTGCAGGTGGGCAGTGAAGGTCAAATTCGTTACTATCGTGGGGTCAATCACAAACGGGGTCTTGCTGGCTCAAGACAGTCCTTACTGCTTGAGGGGTTAGTTTCGGTTCCCACCAGGGGCTGCTCTGCCCTCCAGGCTCTTCCACCTGAGTCCGAGACAAGCTGGAAAGAAGCCAACCAGAAAGTTTGAGGTCAAAATGGAGGCAGCTGGAGTCGTCTTTCACCACCTCCGACAATTCCCCAACACCAGGAAGCAGCGGCACGCGTGGGTGCAGGGAGGTGGACTGGGCGAGCTGAGACAAGCAGCAACTGTCCAGCCAGGCGACAGGTGACCCCACCCCACGCCCCACCCCGGGACTCGGGACCCCACGGACGCAGAGACTGCCCGAGAGACGCACACCACTGCCCTCCCCCCTAATACCTGCGGACTCTGCTCAGGCTTCTTCCCCCCCCAAGTCGCCCTGTCGCCGTAGGTTCCAAGCACACAATCAGGAAGTTTGGAAGCGCCGGGACAGGCGGAACTGACGCACCGCTCCCATAGAAAATTCAGGAGCAACCTCCCACTCCCTCAGCGGAAGTGCCAGCGAGAACAGCGGGCTTCTGGACTTCATTTCCCAGAATGCACCAGATCCGCCTTCCTGAGCGGAAGTGCGCGCGACTACACGGAGCGTCTGGACTACAGCTCCCAGAATGCTGAAGGGGAAATGTTCTGGGCTCACCCTTTTTTTTTTTCTTTTTTAAATTTTAATGTTTACTTTTGAGAGAAGACAGAGTGCGAGCAGAGGAGGGAGAGAGACAAAGACACAGACAGAATCTGAAACAGGCTCCAGACTCAGAGCTGTCAGCGAAGAGCCCTACGCGGGGCTGGAACTCACTAACCGGGAGATCGTGACCTGAGGTGAAGTCGGAAGCGCAGCCGATTGAGCCACCCAGGGGCCCCCTAGGCTCACCCTGTTGAACGAGTAGTTGCGGCTGCTGGAAGCTCCTTGTCTGCACTTACCCAAATGCTAGAATGGAAGGGATCGCGCAGTCCCGACTTCCCCGGTGATAATATGGGCTTCCATGTTGAGAGTCTGCCGGAGTCCTCAGCGAAATTATTCCGTGGACACGACTTCCTGAATTCGAAACGCCTCCAGTTGTGACAGGAGTATTGTCGGAAAGGGATTAGGTGAGGAGATAAAGTCTTCAAAAAATTGGCGGGGAATGATTGCTTAGGGGACACTAGGTGAGTGAGAGGAGGAGGAGGATGTTTAATATAATCTGACGATAAGAGGCTGTAACAGAGTTCAAAGAATAGGTGGATTATTCCAGAGGGGCAGTGAGAAGTGTAGACGTTACCCGCCTCTACTCCAGACCCTGACACACCACAGATTGGGGAGGGAAGACAACTTAGGAGGACCAAAGTGGAAGCTTGTTCCCCTGGAAAAACACTCTTCCCTCATTTAAACAGTATACTAAAATTATTATCCCCGGGCGCCTGGGTGGTTCAGCAGGTTGAGCATCTGATTGTTGATTTGGGCCCGGGTCATGATCCCAGGGTCGGGGGATCGAGCTTGCATTGGGCTCTGCACCGATCAGGGAGCCTGCTTGGGGTTCTCTCCCTCTGTCCTTCCCTGCGTGTGTGTGCGCTCTCTCTCTCTCTCAAAAATTTTAAAAACTATTATCCCTACTTTGGAGGAGAAAATGTCAAGCTTTAGTGAAGTTACAAAATTGCCCACTGTCTCAAACAAAGCAAGCATAACAGCTGCAGAAGGTGACATTGGAGTTATTCGGACACCCAAAGCCTACGATTTAAAGCAGAATCAAGAAGGAGGCTTCTGTAGGTGAGGGAGCATATTTTAGTATTAAGAGTTTTTTCCTTTATAATTTCTGGTTAAAAATATATTTTATTGTTATTTTATTGCATATAGTTAGTAATTTTAAAAGGTATGTTACTAAAAACTAAAAATAGTATGAGGCTAAATAAGATGCACCTAGAATCCTTCCCCCTGAAGATAAATTTTTTTGTCTCCCATAAACATATATATATCAACATATATATTTGATTTTTATAAAATTTTAAAAAGATTTTTTAATGTTTTATTTATTTTTGAGAGAGAGGAGGGGAGGATAGCAGGGGAGGGTCAGGGAGAGAGGGAGATACAGAATCTGAAGCAGGCTCCAGGCTCTGAGCTGGCTGTCAGCACAGAGCCCGACGCGGGGCTTGAACCCACGAACCACGAGATCATGACCTGAACCAAAGTCGGATGCTTAACTGACTGGGTGCCACCCAGGGGCCCCATATTTGATTTTTAAAATGAAGTCTCAGGGTGCCTGGGTGGCCCAGTTGGTTGAGTGTCTCGCTCTTGATTTTGGCTCAGGTCATGATCTCACGGTGGTGAGATCAAGCCCTTCGTTAGGATCTGTGCTGGGTGTGGAGCCTACTTAAGATTCTCTCTTTTGGGGCGCCTGGGTGGCTTAGTCGGTTAAGCGTCCGACTTTCGCTTAGGTAATGATCTCGCGGTTCATGGGTTCGAGCCCCACGTCCGGCTCTGTGCTGACTGCCAGCTCAGAGCCTGGAGCCTGTTTCAGTCTGTGACTCCCTCTCTCTCTGACCCTCCCCTCCTCACACTGTATCTCTCTCTCTCTCCTAGAAATAAATAAAAATATTTTTAAAAAATAAATAAATAAATAAAAGATTCTCTCTTTGTCCCTCTGCCTCTCTGACCCTTCCCTCCGCACACACTCTCTTTAAAAAAGTCATTAAAAAAATAAAAATGAAGTCCCATGTTCTATATCCATTTTTCTAAACTCGGTATAAGCTAAACATTTACTAGTATCAGTTTTGAACATCTAACTCCTTCCAAACTATGGCTGTATAATGTTACACTGGATGGATTGAGAACTAAAAATGAAACAGCCCATGATCTCTGGAAGCTGGTATGGTACTCAGAGCTGGGCCATGTTATTCTCCTTTGGGACATAAATGAATCACAGGATACCATCCTCAAATGAGCATTCTCTGAGACCATGGTAAAGTGAGACAAAACAAGTTCCCTTCTTAATTTTGTTGAGATGCAGACAAAAACGAGGTCACTGTCCCAAGCCACACAGTACCAAACATCCCCCCCCTTTTTTTTTTTTTGCTAGATGAGTGACTGCTAGTTCTTTATCACTTACAGCTTTATTCTTGTTTCAGTCTGCCTTCCCAAAAGGTAAAGTTTATTGAAATACCCACTCTTAGAATTAGTCTTGCTTTCTGACAGTATTTAATCTATAGTGAACCCTGCTTCCTTAGGTCTTCCCTAAACCACCCAAAACAAGACTCAAATCCTATAATAGATTCTTTCTGACACCCTTTTTCTCTGGTGACACCTCACAGTTTTCCCTGCTGGGTGTGCTCTCTACCACAACAAATAATTAGCCCAACTTGTCGAACTACTGGAGTGTTTCTGGATGAATTAAATAAGTATTTTGGCACATTCCCCTGATGAATAGTAGGTTTGCCATCGTATATGAAGCTGCAATGAATATCATTTTGTGTTCTTCTGGGACAGTTTTGGCTAGCGGACGAGCTGCTAATCACAGATCACTCCTTTCTTAATCACTTCCATTACAGAGACTAGAAAAGCGAAATGCTCACTTTCCCACCTCCCTTGTAGCCACACATGTCCGTGAATATAACTGGCCAATGAAATACTCTGCACAAAGATTACTCTGCACTGGTTATCAATTCCAGGGGAATAGAGAGCTGTGTACCTAGTATCTGTTCAACAGTTCAGCATAGTGCATAGGGTCACCCAGGAAACACACCATGGCATGGTGGAAATGCAAAGGTTTACCAGCCTCATTGCCCCTGCTTGGTGCCTGAACCCCAGGGAATGAGGAGTTGACTGAGATGCTGGCCACCCTCTGGTCACTTGGGGGCAAACACGATGTAGATAATAACCTTGTTAACAGGGATGAGTTCGTGCAATGGTTAAGTGCAGAAGTATGAGAGATGAGTCCTAAGAAGAGCAGAGAAAATATACCCAGACTTCTGGCCACCCTCGCACTCCCAGCCCACCCACTAACTTCCATGGTGTCTCAGAAGTTGTAGACGAATGTCTGGGGGAAATAGAAGGACCCTGTGCAGGAAGCTCCACTCAATGCAGCTCACTCGCCAGACTTAAGTAAAACCGATTTTCACGCAGCGCTGAACAACTGATGGCATCAAGGAAAACAGGACAGTTGAAATGAGGTCTTCTCTGAGGGAGGAAGTAGAAGTAGAAGTACAGCCATGGACAGAAGCCAGGAAAATTCTAAGCTACCTGGATGGCGCATCTGTTTGATGAGGGGACATTGCAGATCCAAATGTCCCTAGCCAAATGGGACAGAGATGGGGTCAAGATCTCCATATCCCCACCGGAGACCAGTGGCTCTATTCTGTCAAGATAAGAGGAAAAATGGAGAATTGACTTTTCTGAGGCTCCTGGATGCTGGGGCTCACATGAGTTGTTCCAGGCCCCCGAAGGGCTAAAGATTAAACTGGTAATTTTAGAGGAGGGGGTTGGGGATGAACCTGGTGTCACAGCTGATTATCTGCTTGTGTGATTGGTATGCCTGAAAATGCTTTAAGACATTTCAGGTGCTGGTCGCTGTGGTTTCCATAGCGAAATGCACTATTTTCAATTCATAGCGAATTGACATTTTGGCTGCTTGTGACACAAAACGTCCCCACCTCCTAAGCGAGCATACAACAACAACGACAACAACAACAACAACAACAACAAAAGGGAGCCATAACAGCAAAGACTCCTGCTACAAAGTTAACCAACACCAATGGGTTTTCAACAAAAGAATACTGCATAACGGGGTGGGGGTGGTGGAGAAGGAGATTACTTTGTTTATTTAGGACATGCTGCAAGCTTGAGTGCTTCATACCACTTTGTTTGGCGCCACTCCACACCACTCTGGGGCATGGAGACTGGCATGGGCTGAATGGCCAGGTTCCTCCCTTGACTCCCCGCAGTGCCTGATCTCATCACCATCACTGAGATGGTGCCAACCCACCCTGGAGACTGTGATAATGCTGCTGTTGACCTGACTAATTCCTTCTTGTCAATCTTCTTGCAAGATAAGTATCCAGACCAATTTGAGTTTCACGTGGAATTGCCTACAGTATGCTTTTACTGTACTTCCACAGGGATACCTCAGTTCCCCTGCAATATGCCATCTGTGGTCTGGGCTTGAACTTCAGTGAGCCCAAGTCCCCACAAAAGCTTTGGTCGTCAAGAACATCAAGATGGTGTGGTGCACTGAAAAGCAGGTGGAACTGACACTCACTCTGTTTAGTCATGGACGCAGTGAGTAGTCCTACTCAAGTTGTAAACCCAAATAAGGTCCAAGGCCCAGCATAGCAGGTGCGATTCCTGGGAGCTACTGGGATAGGAGCCAGAGAAGTATCCCAGATACATTCAGGCAAAACTCCCTAGCAGCAAGCATTAAAATAAGGAAGCCCAACAGTTGATGGGCTTCTTTGGGTACTAGAGAGAGTACACACACACACACATTTATACACATACCTATTTTATGTCATATTTATGATAAAAACTCTCAATAAACTAGGAATAGAAGAAAACTCCTTCAATACAATAAAAGCTACATATAGGCATACCTTGGAGATATTGAGGGTATGGTTCCAAACTAGTGCAATAAAGTGAATGTCACAATAAAGCAAGTCAAATGAATTTTGTGGTTTTCCAGTGCATATGAAAGTTATGTTTACACTACCCTGTAGTCTATTAAGTGTGCCGTTGCATCATTTCTAAAACAAAAAACCACCTTAATACAAAAATACTTTGTTAAAAACCACTAGCCATTATCTGAGCTTTCAGCAAATTATAATCACTGATTGCAGATCACCATAACAAATATAATGATAACTTAGAAGTTTGAAATATCGTAAGAATTACCAGAGACATGAGTGAGCAAATTCTGTTGGTAAAATGGCACTTATAGACTTTCTCGTGCAACGTTACCACACACCTTCAATTTGTAAAAAGGCAGTATGTGCAAAGCACAATAAAATGAAATATGCTTAGGTGTGCCTCGGTGGCTCAGTCAGTTAAGCATCCGACTTTGGCTCAGATCATGATTTCACATTCATGAATTCGAGCCCTGCATCAGGCTCTATGCTGACAGCTTGGAGCCTGGAGCCTGCTTCAAATTCTGTGTCTCCCCCTCTCTCTGTCCCTACTCTCACTCTGTCTCTCTCACTCTCTCAAAAATAAAGATTAAAACTTTTTTTTAAAATGAGATATACCTAGGGGCACCTGGGTGGCTTAGTCGGTTGAGCGTCAGACTTTCGCTTAGGTCATGATCTCGCGGTTCGTGGGTTCGAGCCCCGCATCGGACTCTGTGCTGACTGCCAGCTCGGAGCCTGAAGCCAATATAAAAATCTGTGACTCCCTCTCTCTCTGAGCCTCCCCTGCTCACGCTGTCTCTCTCTCTCTCTCCTAGAAATAAATAAAACATTAAAAAATTAAAAAAAAATAAAATGTGATATACCTATATGAAAACCCCACAGAAAACATCACACTCACTAGTGAAAGACTGAAAGCTTTTCCTCTGGGCTCAGGAAAGAGGATGTTCACTTTCACAATTTCTATTCAACATAGTACTGGAAGTTCTAGCTTTAGCAATTAAACAGAAAAAGAAATAAAAGATATCCAAATTGGAAAGGAAGAATAAAATTATGTTTGCAGATGATATGATCTTATATGAAGAAAGTGCTAAGGATTCTATCAAAAAACTATTAGGATACATGAATTCATCAAAGTATTAGGATAACAGTTAGTACAGAAAAATCAGTCGCACCGTTATACAAAATGAACAAACTAAAAAGGAAATTATAGAAGCAATTTACATGAGCATCAGAAAGAATAAAATACTCAGGGATAAAGTTAATCAAGGAGGTGAAAACCTGTACAACGAAAACTAGAAAACATTTCTGGAAAAAAAAATAAAGAAGACATGGAAACATATTGTACGCTCATGGATTGAAAAGCTTAATATTATTAAAATGTTACTACTCCCCAAAGTGATCTACAGATTCAAAGGAATCCCTGGAAAAACTCCAATTTTTAAAAAAATTTTTATGTCTTTATTTTATTTTGAGAGACAGAGCGTGAGCGGGGGAGGGGCAGAGAGAGAGGGAGACACAGAATCTGAAGCAGGCTCCAGGCTCTGTGCTGTCAGCACAGAGCCCGATGCAGGGCTTGAACCCACAGACAGTGAGATCATGACCTGAGCCAAAGTCGGATGCTTAACCGACTGAGCCACCCAGGTACCCCCCCCCCAAAAAAAAACTCCAATGGTTTTTGCAGAAATAGAAAAACCCATCCTAAAATGTATATAGAATCTCAAACCCCCAAATAGGCCCTTCAACTGATTGAGTCAGGCCCATCTGGATTACCTGTGATAATCTCTCTTACTCAAACTCAACTGTTGATGGTCTTTAATCACATGATACAAGTATCCTGCATACAACAAAAGCACATTGTATCTTTTTCCACAAAAGAATGCAAAGTTCTAGGTGATGTTTATTCTTTCCCTTTGCTATCTTGTACTTCAAATACTGTGATGTAACATTAACTAGTATTATTTATTGCACATTATGGTAGATTCAAGTCCTACTGTAGACATTTCACATGTGTATTCTTGCTCTGTATTCTTTGACTGAAATATAGTCCTAAATCCAACCATATTCTGAGTCCTCCAAGCAAATCACAGAACCTGAAGGTGGTATTAGGGGCCTTCAAATGACTATGCAAATTGAGATAGCATGGATCTCAGTATCTAGTATCCTGTGAAGAAATAGCCCAGAAAACTGATTATGAAAATGAATCTTATTAGATATGTTTATCCTTTGTAAGTAAAGCCCTTCAGTCAATCTACTTAAAATTTCACCATGGCGTCCACGGAGTGTGGAATGACATCCAGAGCTTCTCTTTCTCCTTAGGGGCTCTAATGCTATAATGCTATGTATGATCCCTACCCATGTACATTTTTTCTTCAAAGCATTTTTTTTAATGTTTTATTTATTTCTAGGAGAGAGAGAGAGACAGTGTGAGCAGGGGAGGGTCAGAGAGAGAGAGAGTCACAGACCGAAACAAGCTCCAGGCTCTGAGCTGGCAGTCAGCACAGAGCCCGACGTGGGGGGTCGAACCCATGAACCGCGAGATCATGACCTAAGCGAAAGTCGGACGCTTAACTGACGAAGCCACCCAGGCGCCCCCTTCAAAGCATTTTTTAAACCTCTGCAACACAAGCACTTTACTATCTCCAGTATTTGCCTGCTCCCTGGCTTATGCCTCAAGATGAATCTTGTGCAGAACCAACAAAGAAAGTTAACCATACTCATTAGTTTATCTGTGAATACTAATTGAGTCTTATTCCTTAATTTTGATCTTATATGCCATATAATAATGTAGAACAGTTATTAGGTGACACAACTATAAGGGAGTCCCGATTATTTTTCTTTCTTTTTTTTTTTTTTTAGAATTTTAATTTTTTTTTAATGTTTTATTTATTTCTAGGAGAGAGAGAGAGACAGCGTGATCAGGGGAGGGTCAGAGAGAGAGGGAGTCACAGACTGAAACAGGCTCCAGGCTCTGAGCTGGCAGTCAGCACAGAGCCCGACGCGGGGCTCGAACCCACAAACCGCGAGATCGTGACCTAAGCGAAAGTCGGACGCTTAACCGACTAAGCCACCCAGGTGCCCCCCAATTATTTTTCAAATTCTATTGTACCTAATTTACCAGTTTGATCAAATTGATGTTCACTAATAAAAACACACAGTAGAATTACAGAATGGAAAATGCTACCAAATTCTCTTTACCAAAGAGTATCATTAAGAGTATCCACTTCTACATTATCTTATCTATGTAAATACATAGAACACACACACACACAGAGAGAAATTTGTGAATTTTATTATACTATGAAGGCTATGATCTGAATCCTCAAAGCCCATATTATGTTCTTCTCCTGCTATTACATGTCCTTGACATTAATGGCCCCATGTTATTATGGGAATATATGATGTTTAAACAAAATTTTTTTTATTTTTTAAGATGTTTTATTTATTTCTGAGAGACAGAGAGAGAGAGAGAGAGAGAGAGAGAGAGAGAGAGCAGGAGAGGGTCAGAGAGAGAGGGAGTCACAGACTCTGAAATAGGCTCCAGGCTCTGAGCTGGCAGTCAGCACAGAGCCCAACGCGGGGCTTGAACCCATGAACCGTGAGATCATGTCCTAAGCGAAAGTCGGACGCTTAACCAACTAAGCCACCCAGGCGCCCCTACTTCATGCCATTTTAATAAATACGTATCTTGGTATGGACATCCTTGGGCTGATTTTTTGGGCGGATCTCTGTGCATCCTGGATCTAGTTATGTTTCCTTCCTCACATTGTTTTCAGCTATTATTTCTTCAAGTAAATTTTCTGCCATTTCTCTTCTTTTGGGATCCTTTTAATGTAATGTTAGTATGCTATTATGCTTGATGGAGTCATTGAGTTCCCTATCTTCAATCTGCATGCTCTTATTTGTGCAGCTTGATTACTTTCCATTACTCTGTCTTCCAGGTCATTAATTCACTACTTTGTTTCATCTCACCTTTTTATCCCATCAAGTGTATTTTTAATTTATCATGTTCTTCATCTCTGCTTGGTTCTTTTTAATCTATTAAGGGTCTCAGTGCTGTACCCCACTCTTCTCAAACCTACAGTGAGTATCTGATCATTACTTTAAGTTCTCTATCCAGAATATTACTTAAATCCATTTTGCTTAGGACTCCTACTGTGGTTTGGTCCTGTACTTTCATTTGAGAGATATTCCCGTCTCCTCATTTTGTCTAACTCTGTGTCTATTTCTGCGAATCAGGAAAGTCAGCTATGTCTCCTGCTCTCGAAAGTCACGACCTTATGAAGAACAGGTCTTGTAATGCCCTGCAGTGCATGGTCTCCTGTGTTCTGGGACCTGTTGCTTCAGGGGGTGTCTCCTATGTGTGTTGCTGGTGCCCCGCTGTTGAGTCCTAGACTCTTTTTCTTCCGTCTAGTCTCCTGCAGAGGCTCTCTTTGCCTGTTGTGAGCAGTGTTTGGTCCAGGCTGGGTGGAGCACATTTTAATAAGATATGTGTTGGTCTGCTTGTGAAATGAAACCTGTTGAAGCTGCCACCTCAGGAACCGATGTTCCACAAAACACGCAGGGCAGGAGATGAGGCAGATTTGTTCTGGTCTTCTGGGGAAGGGGGCCCAGAGCGTCGACTGAAGCAAGTGTGCTGGGAAAGGCAGATCACCAGAGCACAGGGGGGCAGGGGTTGGTGTAAGCAAGTTAGGTAAGGAGTGTTGGTGCTGCGCTGGTTCCAGCAGATGCCCATGTGCTTATGCTGAGGGGCCAGGGAGAGAAATGGTACCTGCCAGCTCCTTTGTTCCTAAAGGAGTGTCCCCATGATGCCTGCCTCTCCAGGCCATGCTCTGAGTAAATTGTTCTCCTTCCCATCTTCCCCTAGCATTTTCCAAACTGGTGACTCCTGGCTGTATCTCCACTGGCTGTTTGTCATGCTCTCCCAGAGCCCAGCCTGCAGATATGGAAAACTGGGGCTTCAAGTCCCGCCGGTTGTAAGAACTCATGAAATTTGGCCCCTCTGGCTTTCAAAGCCAAGTGTTACGGGGATTCCTCTTCCCCAGGTGGGCTCCCCAGTGTAACAGACTGTTTTATGCCTTCTCCACACGACCGGTTCCCGTCCCTCCACAAAAGGCTGGTCTGGCTCACTCCCAAACTGCATCTTTGCCCTTCCTACCTTCTCTGATATGGCCTCTTCTCTACCATTAGATGTTGACTTTGTTCTGCCGGTCTCAGGGTCAATGTCTGGACTATTTATGGGGATGTGAGTGTTGTCTAGTTGTAGCCATGAAAGGAGAGGAGCTTAATGTCTTCCTACTCCACAATCTTCCCTAATTCTCTCTTCCCTTTGATTCGTTTATCAAATGTGTACTAAATTCACATACTGGGGGGAAAAGTTACAAACGGAGAGGGAGGGAGGTGAACCATGAGAGACTATTGGATACAGAGAACAAACTGAGGGTTGATGGGGGGGTGGTAGGGGAGAGGGGGAAAGTGGGTGATGGGCATTGAGGAGGGCACTTGTTGGGATGAGCACCGGGTGTTGTATGGAAGCCAATCTGACAATAAGTTATATTAAAGTAAATAAATAAATGCACATACAGAGTGCTACTCGATGCTGATTGTATAGGCTCAGCAGCAAACAAACCCCCTGCTCTCGTGAAGCTTCTATTACAGGGGACATCGATTTTGAACCCACCATTAGGGTTTGATAAATGCCTAAATAATTATTATGTTTAGGGCCTTTTTCTTGAGTGACAGCTACAACTGCCAAGGTCCTTGTACCTTGTACACTGCACCGCTCGTGTGACCTTGGGATCACCGGGATGTGTTCAGCTATGGCTAAAACTTTCACTTTAATGAAACAAATGTTTTCCCTTCTGTGAGACTGAATGAGATTTATCCCCAGCGTGGATTCTGTGATGAATTTTAACATACAAACTTGAACTGGACTGCTTACCACAGGTCTCACACTTGTAAGGTTTCTCCCCTGTGTGAACTCTCTGATGAGATTTTAGATGACCAGACTGACTGAAGACCTTACTACACACGTTACATTTGTACGGTTTCTCTCCGGTGTGGACTCTCTAATGAACTTTAAGATTTGAGGTCCTAGTGAAGTGCTTACCACATGCCCTACAGGTGTACGGGTTCTCTCCCACATGGACACTCTGGTGCACATCTAGATCCAAGCTCGTCCTGTAACCCTTCCCACATTCCTCACATTTGTATGGCTTTTCGCTGGTGTGGACTTTCTGATGAGCCTGCAGGCACGATTTCTGACCAAATCCCTTCCCACATACTTCACATTTGAATGGTTTTTCTCCACTGTGGACTTGCTGGTGTGTCAAAAGAGAGGAGACTCATCTGAAGCTCTTCTTCCCACATTCCTTACAATAATAGGGTTTCTCCTCTGTGTGGAACCTCCGATGGTAATAAAGATGTGTCCTTGAAAAGAAGCTCTTTCCACATTCCTCACACTTGAATGGTTTCTGTCCCATGTGGACTTTCTTATGGATACGCAGACGTGAGCGCCAAGTGTAGGACTTCCCACACTCCTCACATTAGTACGGTTTCTCTCCCGTGTGGACCACGCAATGACTATTAAGTGCCGATCGACGACGGAAGTTCTTACCACAGATATCACACTTGAATGGCTTCTCCCCGGTGTGGACCCTCTGATGGTCTTGAAGATGGCAAGCATTAACAAAGGCCTTTCCACATCCCCCACACTTATAAAGTTTCTCCCCCGAGTGTAACCTGCGATGATTACTAAGTTCGGATCTACAACTGAAGCCTTTCCCACATTCCTCACATTTGAATAGCTTCCCTAAAGCGTGGATTTTCTGATGAGTTTGCAGATGTGAGCTCTGACTGAATTCCATCCCGCACTCATCACACCTATAGCACTTCTCTCCCAGGTGAACTCTCTGATGAATACGAAGTGCCGAGCTATAAAAGAAGCATTTCCCACACTCGTGACATGTGTGAGACTTCTCTCCTGGTTTTATCTGTTGAAGATCACAGTGGGAGGTATCACTGAAGAATTTTTTACACTCTTTCCCCAGTGAAGTTTTCTGTCCTGTGTGGGTTATAGACAGTGCCGGCCCAACCTGGCTGAGTGAATCCCACAGTGTGTGGAATTGAGAACTCTTGACCAGGGAGTCTTGACACCAGGTTAAGTCATTTGCAATATGTTGCCAGATTTGCTGGCAGGAAAGTTCTTCATGTCGTTTTGCTTTAGGAATTGTCTCCATCTTTTGTTGGACTTTGTCTCCTAAAAGACAGAGAATGCAGAGATGTGGACAAAGGAAGACTTTGTTCAGTGTCCTCAAGATTTAACAGTTAGAAAAGAGCATGAGACTTTAATGAACCCAGGGAATAGTCCCTATAATCTTCTAGTCTGTACCATGGCCTCTAGTTTAAATGCCTCCAGAAACTAAGAGGTAACCTAGTAGGGTCCATCCACTAGGCACCAATGAAACAAATTTAGAATCATGCCAAGCCTCATATGTAATAGACAAGTTAGAAATCAAAGACTTAACAAAAATGATAATGATACATTAATTTTGCTATTTCCACTGAATTTCATAAATCAGTGTAAATTCTTAAATAGTATAATATGCAAGTAAGTTATATACACAACGAAGCCCTCTGTCCTCAACATCACAGAGATAGTTCTAAGCCCCTGGAATGTCATGCCTGAAATGAGTGCCATAGGAACTTGGGTCACATTAGATACTCTAACAATATGATTTAGGAATGACGCCGACCACACCAAAAAGACTAAGAACTTGATTTTGGGTGGGGCTTTCAATCACCTGGTGGTGTGGACCAAGAGGCTGAGAATAAGCACGTGAAACCATTCAGTCTACCATGAATGGTTATATGAGAGAGCTCCAATAATTACTCTGAGGATCAGGTGAGTTTCCCTAATTGCCAATATCCTGTGTATAATTATACACTTTCATTTTGGTTTAATTTTTTAATGTTTTATTTATTTCTGAGAGAGAGAGAGAGATAGCGTGAGCAGGGGAGGGTCAGAGAGAGAGGGAGACACAGAATCTGAAACAGGCTCCAGGCTCTGAGCTGGCAGTCAGCACAGAGGCCGACGCGGGGCTCGAACCCACGAACCGCGTGATCATGACCTAAGCGAAAGTTGGACGCTTAACCAACTAAGCCACCCAGGCGCCCCTGAAAGCTACAGCCTTTTAGTCGTCTGTAAAATAAATGTAAACTCATGCAATAAGCATTTAGGGGGGAAAAAAGGGGGCAGAAGCCATCAGAGCATCATTACTTGTAGGAATGGGGTGATTGCATGAATCGCCTTATAGGCATACACGTAAATCTACACACAAATGAAATGTGACTTTTGGATACACTGGAAGATGCATTTCTTAGTAGGGCTTGTGCTAGGAAGCCTAAAAAGTTTGAAAACTTAGTTCAGGAACTCAGCAAGTCTTTAATTAAACAAATTGTTCAAATGGAAAGTCCTAAGGGAGAAAACTTGGAAAAATATTAATAGGTGAGGATCCACCTCTTGGTAGATACTAGTCTATGGTTATATTTAATAAACTGTCCCTTTAAAATAATTTTCTTTGGGTGCGGGATATAGGAAGTCTCTCTGAGGATATGACAATTTTGAGTGGGCTATTTCCGGATACTTTCCAGGTTATGATGTTCATCAATTGCAAATGAAACAGTAAGTTTCATAATAAATATATGGAAATTATGTGAGACGATTATTCTTATTTAATAGCTACATTTGTAGAAAATAAAGGTGCAGAAATATATGCCTTATTTTTGACCAAAAATGATCAAGAATAGACAACACTCAGCTCTGTGACTGGTGTCACCCCATCCCCGTCGGCACACGGAGGGGAAACTTGGCTACAGTGATGTGGAGGTAGACTTTTTAAGATGCCAATGCGATGTAGATGGGCAAATTGTGCAAAACAAAAATAACTTTCACATTGATTACTATCTGAGAGATCAGGAAATTGATATTTTTTTCTCCACTTGTAGGGTAGCTATCTAGGAATAGACATCAGAATCTGCACTTATTTATTTAAAAAATGTTTTTCAATGTTTATTTTTGAGAGAAACAGAGACAGAGAGTGAGAGGGGGAGGGACACAGAGAGAGAGGGACACACAGATTTCAAAGCTGGCTCTAGGCTCTGAGCTGTCAGCACAGAGCCCGATGAGGGGCTCAAACTCATGAACCATGAGATCATGAGCTGAGCTGAAGTCAGAGTCTTAACCGACTGAGCCACCAGGCGCCCCCAGGATCCTCATTTACTTTATTTTTTAAACATTTATTTTTGAGAGACAGAGCACGAGCAGGGGAGGTACGGAGAGACAGAGAGACACAGAATCCAAAGCAGCCTCCAGGCTCTGAGCTGTCAGCACAGAGACCGACGTGGGGCTCAAACTTACAGACCATGAGATCATGACCTGAGCTGAAGTAGGATGCCCAACCAACTGAGCCATCCAGGCACTCCCAGAATCCTCATTTTAAAAAAGATTTTCTTGGGGTGCTTGGGTGGCTCAGTTGGTTAAGTGACCGACTCTTGGTTTTGACTCAAGTCATGACCTCACACTTTGGGAGTTTGAGCCCCATGTCGGGCTCTGTGCTGACACTGCAGAGCCTGCTTGCAATTCTCTCTCTCTCCCTCTGTCTTTGCACCTTCCCTGCTCATGCTATCTCTGTCTCTCTCAAAATAAATAAAGTTTAAAAATTTTTAAAAAATATGTTCTTGGGGTGCTTGGCTGGCTCAGTCAGGAGAACACATGACTCTTGATCTTGGCGATATAACTTCAAGCCCCATGCTGGGTGTAGGAATTACTTTAAAAAATATCTTTTGAAAAGAAAAGTATTTTGGGGGGGGGAGAATGGAAGATGGCAATGGAATAAGAGGACCCTAGGTGCCCCTCTTCCCATGAACACAACTAGATAACTATGAAACATCCTCAATACCCCAGAAATCAACCTGAACAATGGCAGCACAAACTCTATAACTAAAGGTAGAGAAGAAGCCACAGAGAAGTTAGGAAGCATGGAGACAGTTTGGGAAAGACACGGATCATGCTGCTGTGGTGAAGAGGGGGCTGCAGTTGCAGAGAAGGGGGTGAGACAGCCTAGCAGACAGGGGAGCGCACGGGGAAAATGAATCCCCAGGGAAACTGGCTTGGAAAGCCAGAGGGGCCAAATTTCAGGAGTTCTTGCAATCAGCGGTGCTTAAAGCCTGGAGCTGTAAGTCAGCAGGCTTGGCTTGGGGACAGGCTAGTCTTTGGGGCTGCTCTTAGAAGGAAAGCAGGACAAACAGCCCACAGACATACAGCATGAAAATAGCGATCTGAGGAGCACCTGGGGGGCTCAGTCGGTTAAGAGTCCGACTTTGGCTCAGGTCATGATCTCATGGTTCGTGGGTTCAAGCCCCACGTCGGGCTCTGTGCTGCCAGCTCAGAGCCTGGAGCCTGCTTCCGATTCTGTGTTTCCCTCTCTTTCTGCCCCTCCCCTGCTCGTGCTCTATTTCTCTGTCTCTCTAAAAAATGAATAAACATTATAAATAAATAAATAAATAAATAAATGGCATACAAATCTGTAAAGAAGTCGTCAAACTTTCAGTGTTTGCAGAAGCCATGATATTCTGTATAGAAAATTTGAAAGAGGAGCACCTGGGTAGCTCAGCCGGTTAGTACCTGACTTCGGCTCAGGTCATGATCTCACGGTCAATGTGTTCCAGCCCCGCATCGGGCTCTGTGCTGACAGATCAGAGCCTGGAGCCTGCTTCAGATTCTGTGTCTCCCTCTCCCTCTGCTCCTCCCCTGCTCATGCTCTGTTTCTGTCTCAAAAATAAATAAACATTAAAAAAACACACACACAAACCTGAAAGACTCCAATAAAAACCTGCCAGAACTAATAAATGAATTCAGTGAAGCCACAGAATACAAAATCAATGTACAGAAATCTGTTATATTTCTACACACCAATAATGAAGCAGCAGAAAAAGAAATTAAGGAATCAATCCCACTTACAAGTGCACCAAAAATAATGAGATAGTTAGGAATTAAGCTAACTAAAGAGCTTAGAAAACTAGAAAACACTGATGAAAGAAACTGAAGATGACGCAAAGAAATGGAAAGACATCCCATGCTCTCAGACTAGAAGAACAAATACTGTTAAAATGTCTGTACTACCCAAAGCAATCTACGTATTTAATGCAATCGCTATCAAAATACCTGTCAGAATGGCTAAAAGCAAAAACACGAAAGACAACAAGCATTGGTGAGGCTGTGGAGAAAAAGGAACCCTTGTGCACTGTACGTGGGAATGCAAATTGGTGCAGCCACTGAGGAAAACAGAATGGAGGATACTTAGAAAGTTAAAAATAGGGGTGTCTGGGGGCGCCTGGGTGGCTCAGTTGGTTAAGCATCTGACTTCGGCTCAGGTCATGATCTCATGGTTTGTGGGTTTGAGCCCTGCATCGGGCTCTGTGCTGACAGATTGGAGCCTGGATCTTGCTTTGGATTCTGTGTCTCCCTCTCTCAGCTCCACCCCCACTTGCACTCTGTCTCTCAAAAATGAATAAATATTTTTTCTTTTTTTTTTTTTTACATTTATTTGTTTTTGAGAGACAGAGTAAGACAAAGCGTGAGTGGGGGAGGGGCAGAGAAAGGAGATGCAGAATCCAAAACAGGCTCCAGGATCTGAGCTGTCAGCACAGAGCCTGATGCAGGGCTCGAAGCCACAAACCATGAGATCATGACCTGAGCCGAAGTCGGACGCTCAACCGACTGAGCCACTCAGGCACCCCTGAATAAATACTTTTTTAAAAAAAAGTCTTAAAAAAGTTAAAACTAGAACTACTAGCTATTCACCCAAAGAATACTAAAACATGAATTCAAAAGGATACGTGCACCCCTATGTTTATAGCAGTGTTGTTAACAACAGCCAAATTATGGAAGCAGCCCAAGTGTCCATCAGCTGATAGATGGATAAAGATGTGGTATGTATACACAATTGAATATTATTCAGCCAGATCAAAGAATGAAATCTTGCCACTGGCAATGATATGGATGGATCTAGAGAGTATAATACTAAGTAAAATCAGTCAGTCAGAGAAAGACAAATACCATGTGATTTCACTCATCTGTGGAATTGAAGAAAGATGACAAATGAACAAAGAGGAAAAATAAAAGAGAGACCAATCAAGAAACTACAGAGAACTGATGGTTACCAGAAGGGAGATGGGTGGGGGGTGGGTGACATGGGTGACGGGAATGAACACACCTGTTGTGATGAGCACTGGGTGATGTATGGAACTGGTGAATCACTATATTGTACACCTGAAACTGATATGACACTGCACATTAACTGGAATTATGATAAAATCTTTTTAAAAAGTATTTCTTTCCAGAAATGACTATGTCCCCTACCAAAGGAAAGCCACAGGAAAACCATGTTCCTTAGTATGGTCACAACCACAGTGCTTAGAAGTTTCCTTATGAAAACAGGTGAACATAAGCGAATGGAAGCAAAAATAATGTAAAAACAGGGAGGGGGACAAACCATCAGAGACTCTCTAATACAGAGAGCAAACTGAGGGTTGCTGGCGGGGTGTTGGGTGGGGGGATGGGCTAAATGGGCAAGGGGCATTAAGGGCACTTGTCGGGATGAACTCTGGGTGTTTTATGCAAGCGATGAATCACTAAATTCTATTCCTGAAATCATAATGACACTGTATGTTAACTCACTTGGATGTAAGTTAAAAATGAATTTAAAATAAATAACCAAATAAATATTTCAAAAATAAAAAAGAAGTTTCCTTGTGATAACAGTCAAGTATACATAAAGAATCGCACTTAAGTGTGATTACATCTATGTAAGTAGAAATTGGATAGAGAGCCATTTGAAAACAAGAAACGTTCTGCAAGATCTTCAATTCACTCTGGTTGATGGATCACTTATTAGTGATTTCCATGAGTCACGGAGTGACTGGGTGAAAAGGAAGCCTACGCAATGGTTTCTTACAAGGTTTGGGTGTTTCTTTGGGCTGTTTCTTTAAAAATGGAGTGGAAAAACTTTGGACAAAGGTAAATTGGTCTTCTGCATCAGTTTTTTTCAAATGGCAAATGAAAGACCTTTTAGCATCCTGTAAAATAAATTTAAAAGCCTGTAAGAAGCATTCAGAAAAATAATCTATCTTGTCTCACCACAAGCAAGAAATACAGTTAATTTCTCCCATCCATTAAGTCATTCTCTAAGTCAATAAATATTTACAGGTATCTGCCACATTCCAGGACTAGCCTAGGAACTGAGGACACATGGATAATCAAATCGATTAAAATTTGGGGTGCCTGGGTGGCTTAGTCGGTTAAGCGTCTGACTTTGGCTCAGGTCATGATCTCACGATTCGTGGGTTCGAGCCCCATGTCGGGCCCTGTGCTGCCAGCTCAGGGTCTGGAGCCTGTTTCGGATTCTGTGTCTCCCTCTCTCTCTGGTCCTCCCCTGTTCACGCTGTCTCTCTCTCTCTCAGAAATAAATAAAACATTTTTTAAAAAATCAATTAAAATTCTCCTCCTGAAGATTATATCCACTGGGGAGAGAGGGGTGAGAGGCAAAGACATATGAGATACAGTATAAGGCAAGAAGCGTAAAGACAGCATTGTATTTTTTTGGGGGAGTTTCTTTTTTTTTTTTTTTTTTTACAAATAGTTTATTGTCAAATTAGATTCCACATAACACCCAGTGCTCATCCCCACGAGTGCCCTCCTCTATGCCCATCCCCCCATGCCCCCTACATCCATCAGTCCTCATTTTTTGTCAGCATTCAAGAATCTCTCATGGTTTGCCTCTCTCCCTTTCCCCCACAATTTCCCCCCTTCTTCTCCCCCTTGTTCCTCAGTTAAGTTCCTCCTAATCCTCCTATACGTGCAAACATATGATATTTGTCCTTCTTATTTCTGTCCTTCTTATTCCTTATTATTGCCTGACTTATTTCGCCCAGCATAACACCCTCAAGGTCCATCCATGTTGCTACACATGGCCAGATTTCATTGTTTCTCACTGTCATGTAGTATTCCATGGTATAGATAAACCACATCTTCTTGATCCATTCGTCTGCTGATGGAAACTTAGGCTCTTTCCATGTTTTAGCTATTGTGGAGAGTGCAACAGCATTGTATTTTAAATGGAATGGTCAGAAGGCCTGTGTCATGGTATTAAAACTTTGCAGAGACCTGAATGAAGAAGGGAAGAGCCACCACAAATATACCATGAAAGAATATTCCAGGCAGAGCAAAGAAGTAAAGGACCCTGAGGGAGAAGCTTCTGTAACATACTTAATAATGGTTCCTGAAAGATGTCCATGCTCATCCCCAGAACCTGTGAACATACGTTATGTTGTATTCATTGGGTTGCAGATGCAATGTCGGGTGCTGATCAGCTGATCAGAAAAAAGCGGATGATCTGGATTATCGGGGAGGAATGTCATCAGAAGGGTCCTGAGAGACAGCAGACACAAGGGGCAGAAGAGCGGCAGAGGGAGAGTTTCCAAGCACCGTCAGGAAGATGCAATGTCGCTGGTTTTGAACGTGGAGGAGGGAGAATGAGAGCCAAGATCCGTGCAGGCCCTGCATGCCGGTAACCGAAGGGAAAAATCTCTCCCCTCGAGCATCCAGAAAGGAACACAGCCCTGCAGACACCCTGATACCATCCCAGTGAGGTGTCAGAGTTCACACCTCAAGAACAAAAACACCTTAAAATTCTGTTGTTTAGTCAGCTACACTCATAGTAATTTGGTAAGTCAGCAATAAGCAAAGTACAGCACACTTGGCAGCAGAAGGGCAATGTGGGTGGAGAAATGGAGTGAGAGGGGCACCTGGTTGGCTCCATCGATAGAGCCTGGGACTCTTGATCTTGGTTGTGAGTTCGAGCCCCATATTGGGTGTACAGACTACTTAAAAATTAAAACAATCTTGGGGCGCCTGGGTGGCTCAGTTGGATAAGCGTCCAACTTCGGCTCAGGTCATGGTGTTATAGCTTGTTTGAGCCCTACCTGGGGCTCTGTGCTGACAGCTGGGATCCGGGAGCCTGCTTTGGATTCTATGTTTCCCTTTCTCTCTCTCTTTTTTTTTTTTCCCTCCCTTTCTCTCTTGCCCCTCCCCGGCTCGTGCTGTCTCTTGCTCTCTCTCAAAAGTAAATAAACATTGGGGCGCCTGGGTGGCTTAGTCGGTTAAGCGCCCGACTTTCGCTTAGGTCATGATCTCGCAGTTCATGGGTTTGAGCCCCGCGTCGGGCTCTGTGCTGACTGCCAGCTCAGAGCCTGGAGCCTGTTTCGGAGTCTGTGTCTCCCTCTCTCTCTGACCCTCCCCTGCTCACGCTGTCTCTCTCTCTCTCCTAGAAATAAATAAAAATTAAGAAAAAAGTAAATAAACATCAAAAAATTAAAAAAGTAAGTACAAAATTAACTTTTTTTTTAATTTTGGAAAAAGAAAGAAAAATGGAGAGAGGACAGGAGATGTATTCAAAGGAGGGAGTGGAGATGCAGAGCA